TGTTTGTTTGGTGGTGGCGCCACCTGTAGGTCGCTGGAGTCGCGAATATTACCTCTAGCCAAGGTACAGCTGCTGCAGCCACAATTCTCCATCCATGCCAGACAGCGTTGTCGCAGTTGTTGTGGCAGGCTGCCTTCAAAATAGCGTGGGTGATATTTCGTGCTTGATTGAAATTGTTTGACGAAACATATTTTTGAAACCCGGCGTCAACGGTAGCCCGATCTTTGAGGACCCGGTGAAAGTTTCACGAAATCGCAGCACCGGGGAAAAGCAGCACAGTACGCATTGAAAGTCGCATCGAGAGAAGCATTGAGAGCAGACGCCGGTACGGAGTCTGCTCTCGATGCGAGCTGCGGTACTTTTCCCCGGTGCTGCGCCTTCGTAGAACTTTGGCCGGGTCCTCAAAGATGGGGTTACCGTTCACGCCGGGTTTCAAGAATCTGGATCGTCGAACAACTTCAATCAAGCAAGAAATATCACCCACGGTACAGTGCACTAAATCCACGGCTATTTTATGGCAGCCTGCCGCCACTGCGCTGTCCGCCATATTAATATAATGGCTACAGATAACATCCCAGGCAGCACAAAATTTTGGCCCGACACTGGCCAATGCCTGATTTTTGCTCGGCACCTGCCTGGCCAGCCCGGCCACTGGAAAGCAGCTGGCCAAAGGTCTCCAAAAGATCACTATTAAGTCCCCGGCCACAGAGTCTTAGTTTTTCCATTGGCAACCAATCACCAAATTATGTTCGGGAAGGGCTTGGCCACCAAGTCTTTGTTTCCTCCCTGGTCACCCGCCTCAAAAAGGTGACCAGCACTCATCCGGCCAATGTTCACCGGCATGAACTTGGTCAATGAAGACAAAAAAGTGCCCGGTAGAAGGCAGACTACTGATCACTCTTTTCATCCCCGGCCACCAGTCCTAAAAATATCCTCAGCACCTGTCCGGTCAATGTTGACTGGCAGCAACCTGGTCAACGAAGACAAAAAAGTGTCCGGTAGAAGCCTGGGACTCACTACACTTTTCATCCCCGGCCACCAGTCCTAAAAATATCCTCAGCACCTGTCCGGTCAATGTTGACTGGCAGCAACCTGGTCAACGAAGACAAAAAAGTGTCCGGTAGAAGCCTGGGACTCACTACTCTTTTCATCCCCGGCCACCAGTCCTAAAAACATCCTCAGCACCTGTTCGGTCAATGTTGACTGGCAGCAACCTGGTCAACGAAGACAAAAAAGTGTCCGGTAGAAGCCTGGGACTCACTACTCCTTTCATCCCCGGCCACCAGTCCTAAAAACATCCTCAGCATCTGTCTGGTCAATGTTGACTGGCAGCAACCTGGTCAACGAAGACAAAAAAGTGTCCGGTAGAGGCCTGGGACTCACTACTCTTTTCATCCCCGGCCACCAGTCCTAAAAATGTCCTCAGCACCTTTCCGGCCAATGTTGACCGGCAGCAACTTGGTCAACGTAGACAAAAAAGTGTTCAGTAGAAGCCTGGCTGCTGACCACACTTTTTATCCCCGGCCACCAGTCCTAAAAACATCCTCAGCACATGTCCGACCAGTGTTGACTGGCAGTAACTTATTCAATGATGAAAAAAAACTGTCCGGTAGAAGACTGGGTACTGACCGCTCCTTTTATCCCAGGCCACCAATCCGAAAGATGGTCACCCTATTTGGCTTGTTTCAAATTGGTCAATAAAAGAAAAAAAGTGTCCCATAGAACATGGGTATGCAGAGTGCTGCTTTTATTCAGGACCACCAATCCTCTCTGGTATTACATTGCTCATTACAATACAGTATACAAGCCACAGGCTTGGTAAGCAATGACTTCCGCTTGTTCTGCAAATATTAAGTCTGGTCACATGTAGGTGGCTACATGTTTGCCCAGGCCAGGTAAGACTGGGAGAAGGGATTAACACTTGAGGAATCCAGGCCGTGGCGCGTTCCATACTATAAAATTGGCTCGGAAAACTTCATTTGGATAAAAATTATATTTTATTATTTGAACACAAATTATATGTACAAAATGCGAAAACATTAAAAAATGACTGTGCCTTTAACAGAGCAGTGAATTCTGGACTTGTTGTACACAACAAAAATGAACCAGAATATGAAAAAAAGCTTTCTCTGGTATTCTTTTGCCAATTACAAAATTCTTCATAACAACAGCTTTTCTTTAGTCACAGATTTCTGGCAAAGATAAAACCAGAAAACCTGAAAACAAACACACAATAAGCACATGTATTTCATAACCAAAACCTGGCTGGCAGTATTGCTATATCAAATATAACAGAAAAGTTCTCACTTAAAAACCAAATTATATAAGCTGCAGTCACAAAATATTGGGTGAAATCACGGTCAGAAGTCGGGTCTCTCTCCACCTGAGGAAACCTCAAGGTGACTGGTAGCAGTAAGGACGTCGTCAAATGGCTACAAAAGAAGCACATTGGGCTAATGGCAGCGCGTGCAGAGCAAAAAACAAACAAACAAAAAAAAAAAGCTCTCCTAACTAAGCCATGGTTAAAAATATTGGGTGAAAAAATGGAGGAAAACACATATCCGACTCTTCGAGACAACGAAAGAACTTTATCGAACGAATCACACTTCCCGCCGTGGTAGGCCGACGTTGTCACAATCACGAGACCTCCACTCGTCGTCGAAAACACGCCGCTAGCTTTTTGAGGGGAACGAACGGCACAATCGTACTATACACAGTGCGACGGCTTTGTCCCGATCACGATATCTCTACACGTCGTCGAAAACGCACCGCTTCTTCTTCCACGGCACGATCAAGCACCAGTTGCACAATCCTGCGCACCTTCTTTCAACTACAGGGTGTCACAAAAGAAAATTTACACGGTCTTTTTCACCGCAAAAATAAACTAGGCATCGCCGAATGCTCATTCTCCGCCCAAAGGTAGAGCTAGAGGTCACAACCAGGCGCCAAAGTTTCAGCCCGATCCGATAACTCTATCAAAAGTTATAAGTGATTTTCTGAAAATTTCAATGGGAAAATGGAGCCCATTTTCGCCCGTTTTCGGTTTCTGGTGCCATAGAGCCCCATGTGTTTGAAAGCGCCGTCGGCCGCCATTTTCCCATTGAAAATTTCAGAAAATCACTTATAACTTTTGATTAAGTTATCGGATCGGGCTGAAACTTTGGCATCTGATTGTGACCTCTAGTTCTACCTTTGGGCGGAGAATGAGCGTTCGGCAACACCTAGTTTATTTTTGCAGTAAAAAAGACCGTGTAAATTTTCATTTGTGACACCCTGTACGTCCGACAGGCGTAGCGTAGTCTCGCTTTGCCCAGCTCGAACACTCACCGCGACGCCGCGCAGTTGACGATGCGATGCAGTTCTCACAAACGCTCTCCCGTGCACGAAAAACACAAAACAATCACATGCCGATGCCTCGGTTGATTTGTGGGCGTCTAACTTCGTTGAATGTCTCACGTGTACACAGATTTCCACTGACCCGTCACATAGGGTTACGTAACTTTGGCTACGGAGGCCAAATAAAACGAGATGCGGTGCTTCTTCTTGGCTCCGTAAGGTCCAGAAACATAGACCGATCTATCTTAGGTCCGATCCAAGGTCAATAGTCCGGTCTTCGACATACCTTTTCCGATTTTCCAACGAGAAAAACTAAAAAAAAAAAAAAAAAGCGCGCTGCTCTACCCTGCTCACCGAGCAAACATACAGATGAAGCAGGTGAACCGGAAGTGATCTCGTCCCAGCAAGTTCCGCCAGTTCCGCCATTACTTGTTTATGCATACCCACGACCCTGTACACCGACTGCGTAGGGTGAACACGAAAACTGGCGACTCTCTTGCATAAAAGAGAAGTGACGGGTGCTTTAATTAAAATATATTCATGTTCGTCTTAATCCCCGAAAATCTGACTAGATTCCCTGCGCGGTGATAGTTGTCCGCCAGGTGACGCGAGCTACCTCCCATTGCAAAAAAAAAACTTATAATTTTATTATTCACCCATCCACTCGATCGTGTCGCGCTGATGCCGGTGCAATGGCCGGTGCAGCTGTCTGATGGTGGACTCATCAGGCCTAGTTCAACTTCAAGCGGTTCAAGGCGTTCAAGGTTCGACGATTTGAGAAGCTTTGTTATCGGTTTGTGCACATTTCAAGCCACCCAAGATAGCACGCGGCGGCGTCCAGAGACAAGAGGCCATGAATACGCTGATCAAGGAGTAAGTCCATTTTCTACTCGGTGTTTTGTTTTGCAAAGTGATTGGAACACAATGGGCATAGGGTTAGTAGTAACGGCTCAGTTGACAAGCTCTGCATTAGCGGTGCTTCGGAAAGGCGGCCCCGTCCGTTCGTGCGAGCGTGATGACGCTGTCGTCGCAGCCCGCTTGGTTCGCAAGGTCGGGGAAGCTCGGGCCACTGGCTTGTCATTGCAAAATCAGGCGGTCGGCGGCATGTCAGCGGCATGTTAGCGGCTCTTGTGCACTTTTTAGATTCTGCTGATTGTATGATTGTTAATGGGAAGTGGGGTCCACAGTGTTGCCAACCCCTGATGTCGACTTATCCCTAGGTTGATGCCGAAAAAATCCCCAGATTGGACGAAAAATCCCTAACTTTTTGTTATTGTTTATAGGCCATGAAAAGACCGTCGTAAAGTCACACAACACAGCTTTCTTTTTTTTAAACATATTTTTGCTTAATGTTGCGACAAGCCATTTAACCATCATGCTGGGACTTCTTTACAGTTCTGCAAAAATAAAAAAATGCACCATAGATGATAGAACACAAATAATATTCATTGCTATCTCTCTACATTACAAAAATTTCTTGACAGGGCAAGGATATCATCAATATCACTATGATGTCAGTACACATTCAACACGGGCAAGATTAAAGAAACAGAAGGACAAGCATGCACGTACGCTTTGTGGGAGACACTATTTCTGTAGAAAAACACTAAAGAACATCTTATCTACTGTTTTTCAAGGCATGCGGTCCATGCGACATGCTGCTTCTACCCGTCGGTGTACATTTCTTTTTTCATTCTCTTCAAATGTGCGGGTGTGATCGCAAGCTTCGAACATGCGCTAGCCGCCAAAGCTCTCTTCGCGTGGAGCAAACCGCACAGAGCGTCCGTTGAGAGCCTGTTCCTCTGCTTCGTCTTCAGCAGATTCACCTGTGAAAACACACGCTCGACGGCAGCGCTGGAGTGTGGTAGGCACAAGAGTTTTTTCATGAAACTGGAGAGTACTGGGAACTCTGGTGTATCGTCGCCCTTCCTTCTTTGAGACACACTGTTCCAGAACTGGCTGGCACCCAAGTTCGTATGTTGGCTCATGTCCGTGTTTCGGAGTAGCCTCCATTCTCTGTCCAAGTCGTTGATTTCGCTTGCTGGTACAAGCAGTGGGAGAGACACCGCTAGTGGCGCGATGGATGAAACTTCCTTGTTGGCAACAACTTTGGGGTCCAAGACTCGTAGATTCTTCATCAGGTCATTCTTCAGGGGGAACCTCTGATGGATCTGATGTGCTGCTTCAATAAAAAATTCTAGACACCTCAGCCTAAAATTGTGGATCTGACTCTTATCCAAGCCGTGAAGGTTACTTGCCAGCGCTGCTGTAGGTTTGGCTCCGATGTACATGAGGTCCAAAGGCAGAAACTTGGTAGGGTCTTTGAACTGGACGTCGGGCAACGGGGTGGCCTCCAGGTATTCTGGCTTCATGTAAAACTCCAAGATGGTTTTTAGCACTCCTGAAACCTTCTCGTTGAGCAGGTGGATTCTCGTCTCTTCAGACTGCATCTCTTTGTTCAGGTTCGTGAAGAGAGGCAGCACGTATTCCAAAAATTCAAGGTACAACTTCGTTGAAGGATCTTGCAGTTTGTCGAGGATTGTCTCCGCAGCGAGCAGGCGATCCTCAGTGGCCGCTTTCTTGAAAAATAAAATGAGCGCTGGCATCTGCTCGAGGAGGCGTGTCACCACGACCTGCAGGGACAGCCACCGCGTCTGACTCGGGTGTAGCAGCTTGTGCGGTTTTACGTCTGCAAGCGCCTGGAACTCCTTGTACCCGGAGGTTTGCTTTGGAGACAAAAAGTAGTTGTAGACGTCGCGGGCCATGTCCTCAACTCCCCTCGGGAGGGTCTTGCACGCGTATGATGCGCAGAGGTGGAACGAGTGGCAGACGCATTTCATAATGAAAATGCCCGGAATGTCCGCCTTCAAGAGAGCCGCAACTGAATGATGGGCCCCCATCATCACGTTCGCGCCGTCTGCCGCGAAGCCGATCATGTTGTTTTTGTACGGGATATCGGCAGCGCTGAACACCGCTTTTAGATGCTCGTACAGGGCACTGGCAGACGCGTCGCCGACTGGAACTAAGGCCAGAAACGCGTCTATAACGTTACCGTCCTGGTTCACCACTCTGGCCACAAGTGAGAGATGCTTAATTGTGCCCCGGTCCGTGGACTCGTCCACGAGAAGCGAGAATGTTTCTTGTCGAAGTAGCTCGCAGAGCTCCTCCCGGCTCTGCTCACCGAGAACGTTCTTGACGATGGCTGCACACTTTGTTCTCCCGCATGTGATGCTCTTTGCGATCTGAGAGTCATGACACGTTGCCTTTACTGCGTCCACTAAATGTCCCATGATATGAAACGGCAGGTTATGCTCGGCGACAAATGCTGTTAGCCTGATTTCTCCCTCTTTGGCAGACTTCTCGAGTTGAGTCTGGCCGCTCACAAATGGCATCGACGTGAGAGTGCGCGTGCTTTTAACGCTTGAAGCGTTTTTCTTGTGCTTGGCCGTTTGAAGGTGGCGGTCTATCTCCGACTTTCCTCCCTTGCAGTCGGCGTCGCAGGCCTTGCAAAGGAAGCGGTGCCCCCCTTTCTTGCTTGCAGCGAGCCATCCTTTATACTTGGGGTCTGCCTCCCATTTCGTTAAGTATTTCTGGTCATATATTTTAGCTCTCTTCTTAGTTGGCTCGTCAGCCTCGCCGCCTTCCATTGGAGAGTTGTCACTTACTTCTTTGAGGTAGACCACGTAAAAACGGAGATGCCGGGACAGGGACAGCACGAAGCATGCGGCGATCAGCGCGAACCAAAATACGGTGAACAGTGGTAGAGAATCATGTGGACACAAGATCCGTTTATTGTAAACAACCCACGTGCACTGACGTAAAGATGGGTCACATCTACGGGAAGCTTAAAATAACACAATCATAATGTCACAAGCTACGTGCGCGTAAAGCTGCCTGCTACTAAAAAAAAAAAAATATATATATATATATATATAACCATTCACCACGACGCTACATAGTGCCGTCACAAAAAGCTAGACCCGCTTACTGTCTTCGCGTCCGGGATTGCTTCGAAAAGTGGAAACGTTTCTTACGTCCAACAAAAGGATCACCAAAATAAATACAAACGAAACTGCCCGCGTCGCATTGAGCGAGACCACGCACTGCCCATCCCTGCCGGAAACGAGGCGCGTACGTCACCGAGTTCGTCAAAAGATAAGAAGGGAGTCGGGATAAACCGGCAATAGCTCCAAATAATGTAAAAATCACATTAAAAAAATGCGGTCACTTGAACTTCGTTTCTGAACCTACATCCGGGGATCAGATGACCGAGCCTCTCAACACTAGCCTGCTCCTGCTCCTGCGCTGTGTGTGTGTAAGCGTTGTAAGGTAGAAGGGGGGGGGGGGGGGGGAGAGAGGGCCTGTGCCACTTCCCCCCCCCCTCTCACCCCCAACTTTTCTCCCCCAAACCCCAACTCCCCGAGAGCCAGTGACAAAAGCGCCCAGTCATAAGGTGGTGTTGGCCCAGTGCGCATACACTATTGGCCCACCCTTTCCCCCCAAACCTCTCTCGCAACGCTTCTCTTTCTCTGTGCCGCTTCGTCGCTCCGATTGGCTCGAAGGGTCAAAAGGGCAGTTTGCTGTTCGCCAAATTATATTAAATAAAACAAAATGCACACGTATAGATAGATAGATAGATATATATATATAAAAAAAAAAAAAAAAAAAAAAAAATTTTGAGAAATCTCTAGATTTTGCAAAAAGTCTTTAAATCCCTAAGCGAGAGCGAAAACCCCTAGATCTAGGGGTAAATCCCTAGGGTTGGCATCACCGAGTGGGGATTTTGCCGGCAACCGTCATGACAAACCTACGAAGAAAAACTGTCGCGAACGCCGAACTGGCATGTTGTTTCTTGTATAACACGAATTGTAAGAGTAGAAATATCCGAGCCGGTAGTAGCTCAGTGGTAGAGAGTCCGCTTCTCACGCAGAAGTTCCGGGTTCGATCCCCAATGAGTATACTTGTTTTTTTTTGTTTTTTTTTTTTGTCAAGCTTTTTGCGATATTTGCACATTTTCTTTTAGACAATTATCGCTGAAAATGAATATATATTTTATTATTTGTTTCCACCGATAATTGATTTTTTTTATACTTAATGTTTTAGTGATAGTGCTCTATTTTTATAATTGATTTTTTAGTGGTAATTGATAGCTTTTTGCGATATTTACACATTTTATTTTTGACAATTATCGCTGAAAATAAATATATTATTTTTTATTTAAACCAATAATTGATTTTTTTTTAATAATTAATATTTTACTGATAATGTTTTTTTTATAATTGATTTTTTACTGGTAATTGATTATATCATATGCGTGAATGACGTTTTAGCGAACAACGCCATTTGAGTGAATAACGGAGGCGTGTCTTAACCCACTCCCCAGCACTGCACTCGCGCCGCTTTTCGGCGGCAGTCTGCAGCTGCTCGTTACAAAAATGTTAGCTTTCGATTGTTTCGATCTCGCCCAGAAGTTCGTTCATTTCTAACTTTCAATGAAAAAACGGTTAAAGTGCGGGCGAGCTGGTGTAAGTTATACATGACGATTGAAAACCTGAGTCTGTGGTTGGAAAACGGAAAAACGTGATGTAGAAAGTATGGTGCCTGGATCGCGTCTACGACTGGTGTGTTTAGCGTCCTATCCCGCCCATACATCAAAAGTGATCCCGAAGTGGCAACAGATGACGTCACAGAAGCCGGAGTGTCATGCTGTTGACTGTCGCGATCCTGGCGGTTGGCCATAGAAATGCTGGCGAAAAGCACAAGCGAACGCGAGTGTCGCTGTCGTCACGGCGTCCCAATTTGCAGCTGCTGTAGCTTCCGTGGACTGTCACAGTGGAGAGCGACCTGCAGCAGAACAGGCGTCGCCACATACACCACAACTATTGGGACGCCACCAGGTTCGCAACCAGCGACAGCATGACACTTTTATGACGTCATCAGGCGGAAATCGAGGGACCACTTTTTTGGACACGGTAAACACACCAGTCGGAGACGCGTTCCAGGCACCATAGTAGAAAGACAAAGTGACAGAGAGCATCTCTTCCATTTTTTAACCACAGTCTCAGGTTTTCAATCATCATGTCTAACTTTCGATTGGTGTTTCTCATGCAGAAGTTCATTTGCGTTACAACAAAGCAGCTGAGTAGTTGGGCAGTGAAGTTTCGACAGGGGCCTTTGCTTGGCACGTAGCCAGGATTTTTTTTTTTGGGGGGGGGGGAGGGGGGGAGGGGGGGGAGGGGAGGGGAAGGGAAAGGGAGGAGGAGGAGCAGGAGAGGAGGAGCGCGCCCGCCCATGACAAAATGCTGTATGAGGGGGGGGGGGAGGAGGTCCCAGGAAAATGGAAGATTGCAAGGGGGCCCCATGGTCCCCCCCCCCCCCCCCCCCCCCTGGCTAGGTGCCTGGTCTTTGCACCCCAGCCTTGCTGTGTCAACATTAACAGGGGCTGACAGTGAAGTGGCTAAAGACTTTTTATTTTGGCTTGAAATAGATAGCAGAAGCATCACGACATCAATTGAACAACATCATCATGAACCTATGCCCTAAACAGACCTCTTGCTTCGCTCCTAAGTGTAGCGTATTCACTGTTCAGTCTGTGGTCGCGTCTCGTGAGTGACAGTGAGCTCCTTTTTCAAATCGTGCGGCGAAAAGATGTCACGCGCTGCGGGTCAAGTGCAGACGTTTTGCGTCTCGCTGAAAGTTAGACGTGCCTGTTTTGCTAGATGTATTTATTTTGGATCTCTGCTACAGTTTTTTGTGAGTTTAGTGCATTATGCTTGTATCAGAAACCTGCATTTGTAAGTACCTTTTTTAAAAATTTGTTTAGCGGATTTCTCCATCCAAAAAGAAACAAATCTGGCAGTGGTTTGTTAGTGGTTGCTGGCGGGGCCCCCAACATTACCCAAGCTGTCTAAGATAGGTTCTAATATTCTGGTAGAATGCATATTCCACACTTTTTCTCTATAGCTACCACGTCATGCACTTTAGATGAAGGGAGCGCATACGTCGTCTCGGAGTGTTGGCTGGTGAGGAAGCTAGAGCAAGTCGTCTCCATCTGGTCACCTTACAAGCAAAAGCAGCAGGTCCTCAATGCAATTTTAGAGAAAGAACAGATTACACTGACTTGGTCGAATCACCCAGTGAAGATTCTTCACTCCTACATTAGGTTGGCGATTTTTTTTTTTTAATTGAGCGTATAATTGAGATGATCGTTTCTCATGCAGCCACACTGCAGCACGCTTCAAACCATCTGGTCGCAGCTGCCTGAGCACCCAATTTGGACTGACGGACCGGATGTAGCCCCAAGACAGGAAAGGGCGAGGAGGCCTGCTGGCCATATGGACAGCGACTCTTCGGACGATGCCTCAAGAGAAAGAGTGTGTCCCGGTATAAGGCTGTTCATTATAAATTATTATTCAATGTGAATCAAAACTTGCATGCATAACTTTAGCTCCTTATGCAATTGTAAAATTGCTAAATAGTTATAGTCAGTAACAGGTCAGTAACAAAGGGCAAGGGAAACGAAGGCTGGATAGGAGAAAGCAGACTGAAGGTAGAAGAGGTTTTTGTCCTCTCACCTTCAACACCCCATCTGTTTTCTCCTTTCCCACCTTCGTTTTCCTCGCTCTTTGATCTTGATTTATCACTGAGTGTAGGTCAGTCTGGTTAGTGCACGCACACTGTAATATTCAGTAGTTAAAATTGAAAGAATGAAAGCACGAAAGATGTATACAGACAGCTGAGAGCTGTCAGTTAGCAACATTTAATTCTGGATGGAAAATTTTGTGCAGTGCCCGAAACAACCAACAGTGGTTCAGCCTTGAGCGAGCCTCCCCTCTGAGCAACATGGAACTGTCCGAATCATGTACTGCGCCCCTTTCGGCCACCGCCTCGGCCATGCGCTCTGAGTGGGTATTTCATATTGCTGCAGACTGTACCACATCAGTTAGAATTGCTTGTCCTTGAAACCTTGCCAGCCAGTCCCCTAGTTACCTTAGTTACACGTACACTTTCAACTATCGTTGAGTCTACGACATTTATCAGCCTCAACTTTGACTGAACTCAACTCAACTCTCTAGAACCCAGTTAAAGCTAGCACGAAACTGGTTCTTGTGGCATGTGATCAGTCTAATTTTTATAGTAATTTACTCGGAGACACACGTTTTATTTATTTTAAGTAGATCATACTATATGTTTGATACCTTGTTGCTTTTTAGCGGCATTTACACGAGTACAAAAGCAGATTCAGGGCTAGGTTGCACATATTTTAGGCTAGATGGTGCGAGCTACTGCTCGCTATGATGGGTGCCCCACTACTATTTGTCTATTTATGCAGCAGGTTCCTCCGCCATTTTTGCTCGTTTGGAATCTTGCCGGCTAGCCGGGATGCTATTATTGGCAGCTCGGACGCCTAAATTTATTCCTTCCCGAGAATTTTGCTGCTACGATTCTTTCTAGACGCCTCCCCCTGCATTTCGAAACAGTAAGTGCCTCACAAACAATGGTTGCTGGCAGCGGTCCCGCGAACAGGTGCCAATTTACCTCCGTTGGGGAAGTTCGTTCGGTTGAACTGAGGTGGGGGAGCTCAGTCGAACTCAACTGTCATTAGCGGCTCAATGACGGTTGGCGCTGCCGTGTAACTTTGGCTTAT